GCATTGAGAGAGTTGACGGCTCCACTATATAGTTTGCCAAAATTGTGCTGCATCACGCGCCGATGGAAGTTCATTAGCTGAACGACCCGCGTCTGAACTTCGGAAGGCTCAGGCATCTTGTCCGGCCAGGCGAATTGCGATGGTCGCTCATTTCCCTTGCGTAGTAGACCCTTGAGCTTCTTCTTGACCTTGTCCATTTCGTCCTTGGCTGCGTTTGAGTCATCCAAAAGGTCTTTGCGAATCGTAATGAAGTCATCAGGGAGATCCTTCCGGCCCAAGAACGAAGAAGTCCAGATCTGCGCGCTGGTCGTCACCCGTCGTTCTGAGCTGCTGTACACATGGACCTCGTCCAGTACGTCGCGGTTCAGCAGCATGAAATCATTGCGCATATTTTCGCCCAGTTCCTGTGCCTGGTACCTGGCGGAGTGCGTGGGCTCGCCGCCCCACTTGACAATAAGCTGGAGCTTGTCCAGGACCAGACTTTCCTCTGCGGCCGTAATGCGGGACATGGTTACCCCTGAGAGCGAGTCGTGGCGTTTGGGCGTTGTCCTCGTTGCTGGATCGGTCTTGGATGGACTTTCATCCGTCTTTTCAGGGAACTTAGCTTCCACACCCTCCTTGAGAATCTGGGCAACCTCTTCAGGAGGCACAACTTCATCGGTGGCCTTCTTGCGGAACATGGGCTTGATCTGAACCTTGGTTCCTGCCCAGCCACCCTTCTTGACCAACGCATTCCGCAGAGATTTGAGCTTGTTCGGGTCCTCAATGCCTTGGGTCACTGCAACATCCACTGCGTGGATGACGCTGGCCAAGGCTGCTTCTCCTATCAGGAGAACCTCTTCCTGATGGCCCTTGAGCAGTTCAATGAAGGGTGCCGTGTGGAACGTGAACTTGTACTTCTGCTTGGGTGTGCGATCTGCATGTCGGATAACAGAAACGATGCCCTTGAGCTTCCAAGAATGTTTCGGTGGTGGTGGTGGTGGTGGAGCCGGTGCCTCTTCTGGCTCGGGTGCAGCATCACCCTTCAAGGAGGCAGCAGCGGAAGCTAGTGCTGATGGTGTCGCCGACGGCACACTGCCCGGGCCAGTCTCAACAAGGGGTGGCGGTGGCGGCAGGGACGAGGGGCTCGAGCCAAGGCTCATTGCGCCCGAGGTCGCCGCACTCTCTGACTTGGTGGTCAACGTTGATGGGGGAGGACGGAGCTCGTCAGTCTTGGGCTCCAGCAACCCCTTTTCCGCCGACTGACTGGCGGGCAGCTGCCCAGTTGATTTCGTAATGGGCAGCGCAGGAACGGACGCTTGGCCATTTTCCTTCTCTTTGCCTCGCAGAGCCAGCGGGTCGATCACATCCGAGAAAGCGGGTGAAGGCATGGGAGGCGTCACACCGCCTCTTCGTAATCTCTCCTTGACAAACAAATCTTTGAGAATCTTCGCAGATTGCTCGTAGTAGTCATCATTGTCCTTGACAAAACTCCAACCGTTGACATCGATAACGTAGCTTTTGTCATCGGCTCGCAGGAAGTCAAAACCACAGACCCGTTGACCGAAGGATGTTGAAATTTTGCTGGCGATGTCCCTTTCTTCAGGGTTGAGCGCAGTGACATAACGTACTTCCTTTCCATGAGTGTTGCGTCGGACGACGCCGTCAACAACGGGGGACTTCCTGGTTTCGGCATGACAATAGTTGGGTCCAACTGTGTAAGCCTTGACATCCTCGGCGTTCTCAACTCGCATGAACTTTTCGTACAAGTAGCTGTTCTCCGGTTCAAGAATGGCGCGCGGAACGTTCAGTTCCGGGTCGTACTCTGAGCTCTTGTTGCCGATTTTGCGGAACAGTCTCCGTGCGCCTCCTCCACTTGATTTGGGGAAGTAGATGATGATGTTATGGTCTTCACCGCTGACTGGCTTCTCAACAAAGGGTTTTTTGAGGAGAGCACCGTCGACGCTAAGTATATCATCATCATCGAGGAGCTCGACCTTGTGGGGCGCGCATCTCCAACGAGGCTCGTCGGGATCAAAATCAACACCAGAGACGTCCTTGATGTATTTCGCAATGTCGGGCGTTAACATACTGGGACCACCATCCCGATTGACCTCAAGTCGCTTGGGTGTTGGAACTCCGATACTGTCAAGTAAGTGCAAACAAAGGCGGCGGTCCCACAAGAGTTTCTGCATTGGTAAATCATTGACACAGAACGGTTTCCTGGCCTTGACGTATGAGATGGCCTTATCGAGGGGGAAACCATCGGAGTAGAACGAAATGAGATAGTCACTAGGTCAGACTTGCATCAGCATGAAATTCGACAACTCACGTCACGGTGTGGTCTATCGACGACCATCAGGTTCCAACAAGGGGAGGTCTTACCACATGGGCCAATTTTCGAAGTCTGATATTGTGCACTGGTCAGCCAATCCTTTTCGTTGGACTTCCTAGACATCCATTCCAGGGGTCCATACCTTCGTCAAGGATGACCTTGTCACCGAACACAACAACATCGAATTCCCTATTGGCGATCAAGCGGTTCAAGATGTTCCGACTGGGCTTGCTTCTCGCCTTCACGTCTAAGGCACAGATGCCGATAACACCCCACGGCGCGGGCTTGGCTGGAGGGGGATTAGACGCTGCACTGACACGTTGGTAGCTACTTATGTCAGACTGACCCTCTTCTCTTTCTTTGTGATACGGCCCCCTATCGCTGCTTGGGCTGTGGCTGCTGGCCGCTGTGCTCCCGCTGAACCTTCTCTTGGCCCGGCTCCTGGACCTAGTTGGTTGCGATCTGATGGTCGAGTCGGTGCGGACTGGGGCTGGTGTGCGCTTCATGACATCAAGGGTTTCGCGGGGGGCTAGGTGCTGGTTTGTAGAGGATGTCATAACGGTAATGTTGGACAGTTCTGGGTTCGGAGGCACAGAGCCAGCGACTGGCTTGCCGGAAGACATGATGCCGGAGACTGACCTAGGGGCGGCACCCGTCTCGGATCCAGCGGCAGATGCAGCAGAGCTCGAAGCGACGCCGCGGGCAGAGGCAAGAGAATACACTGATGATATGGAGGCGCGCTTAATGTCGGAGTCGGTGAAGGACGATCTCGTCGTGAGGGGCCGATCGGGCTGGAACGTCGAAGTCGAGGAGGATATGCCAAGTCCGGACCGTGTCACATCAAGATCTGGATTGGGGCTCTTTTGGGCTATGTCGCTCGCAAAGGATTCGGAGTCGATCCCGGCTTCGACAGACTTGTTGGAATCGCGGCGGCTACGACAGAGAGACGAACGAGGGCTTCTGAGGGGATTCGAGGAAGCAGCACCGGACGTTTGTGAAGGAGCAGGCGGGGGCGGCATAGACAGACTGGCAGGATCTGCGTGTGCGTCTGTGGTTCCTGGCTCGGCGTGACGGCTTTTCCTACTGAGGGCTGTAGCTGTGCCCGAAGCGAAGGACGAGAGGGTGTGGGAAAGAGAGGCAGAGCGTTTGGAGCGGTCGCGAGGGCGTTGCACCGGCGTCGTGGCAGCCGGTGTCGGCGTCGGGGTGGTCGAAGTCGACAAGGTCGATGGTGCACCCACAGACGAGGCCAAGGTCGCAGAAGAGGCCGAGGTCAATACTGACGACGATGCGGTAAGGGAGCTTGAAAGAGTCGAGAGCGTCCGGGGTGGGGATGCAGATGTGGATGATGTGGATGTGGATGTGGTTTGGAACTGGGACAGGCTCGAAGAATTGTTCACGGCCCGCCCTGTGCAAGGAGCCTGCTGGTCCATTTTCCTGTCGCTTCGGGTCGACGGCCGCCGGGCCAAGACGCAAAAGTCGAGTAACTCTGACAAGGCCGACCGACTGTCAAGCTTTGGGCCGCCGCTTTGTTCGTTGGTGTCTTTTGAGCCCCGCCCCGCTTCAACTAGGATGCTTTGCACAGCGATAGGTCACCGGCAAGTCGGAATTGGCTCCCCTTGTGTCATGACACATGGGACAGGAGGGAAAGAGAAAGTTCACAAAATGCCAATTGCCAGTTGAGGCTCTGCCTGTATTCGTTGTTTACTGCTGCAGGTCCAGCAAGCAAAGGATGAACCAAGGGATCGGAAGAGGGGGGGAGGGGGCAAGGTCTAGAATCCAGGAACTTCGCCAAGCAGGGATCTGCAGTGAGGCCTGTGATAGGTGCGAAGTATGCCCCTCCGACCAGCTCTGGCCCTCGTGGTTTCTACTATGTATCGACACTTCCCACCTTGAATCAGAAACTGGTGAGAAATTAAGCGTGGCACTGCCCCATTCCGTGTGACGGCATTGTCCCTGTCCCTATATTTTCTTGTGGGTGGCAGCAGCAACAAGTAAGGTTATCAAAACTATGAAGGGGGCAAATGCGACCTCATGCAGGCAGTGTGACGATGATCTCATCAGCCAAGACGTCAATCCGATTGCCAGGATATGAGACACCGAAAGCGGCCTTCAAACCATGTATGCATGCATCTAAGCAGTTTGGAAGGGTCGGTGAATGCTATTTTCCATCATGGTCGCGTGACGTGCAAACATGGGGCCCAGCTCGCAGCCCAGCCCTCTAGAAGCAGTTGAAAGAGCATAAACAAGATAAATCGTATTGGCAATTCCACTTCGCATGCTCATGATGCAAGGCACTCGAGTTGTTCACGCAGCACTGCTGGATCCGGATTAGCTAACAAGGTCAGCTCCAAAAAGAAGCATGCACATAAAGGCTTATGAGACATATCAAGCTAAGCAGTACGTTTAGAGACCCACGTTACAGCTACATGGCAAGGAGGTACCTCAGCTCAAAGGGAGCCAAAGATTCACAGCCAGAGTACCTACTTGTTTCCAAATACCCCACCTACCACTCCATATGGTGTGGCACAGTCAACTACGCCAAAGTCGTCCAGCCACATGTGGCATGATAAGATAAGGAGTAGAAAAAAATACTGGACATTGTCTTGCGAGTGCCTCCAAAGCCCAATTCGTCGCGAACGAAATGCCATTGCCCATACGGCAAATAACCCTATAGCTTGCCCCGACGATGCCTCACTCGGACAGCGACGGCCCTCTGAGCAAGAGGCAGAAGCTCAATGTTGCCGCCAAAGATGTGGCCACTTCAGAACAGGCGTCACGCATTTTTGCCCCCTTCAGAGTATGCTTTCAAGCTCCTTTCACTTTTGCGCACGACAGACACCCTAACACATTGCAGACAGTCGGCCTGGTCTCTCCTACCAATGTCCCATTCACCTCGATACCCCTCGGAAAGACCACCTATCAAGTGACCACCTCTGTTGGCCGAGCATTGCAGACTTACGACTTGAAGAGGGGCCTTAATCTCGTCTTCGTCACGCGCCCTCAGACCCCCGCCGACATCACCGCCACATGTGCCTGGAAGGAAAAGGTTTTCGTCGCATGGGGCGACCGAAGCCGAGGAGAAGACCAAGGCCTGTGGGCCTTCCATCGCGGTCGAAGGTCCGAAGAACTGGAGCTTCCCGCTGATCTCGACGAACCCATCAAGCAGATCTTGATCTTTGGTTCCTGGATGGTCGGATGCGCGACCACGAGGCTCGAAATCTGGAAGACCTCAACGTTGGAACATTACACGACGCTTCACACCCTAGCCACCAAGAAGGGCGATAACGAGATCACCGGAGGTGTCACCAACATGCCTACATACCTCAACAAAATTTTTGTCGGCCGCAAGGATGGCTGGGTGGAGATATGGAACGTGAGCACCGGCAAGCTCATCTATACTATCCTTCCACCCTCGCCCGACTGTGGCTCGGTCACCTGCTTGCAACCTTCTCCGGCGCTGTCTCTTCTCGCCATTGCTTATTCGAAGGGCCCGCTAGTCGTCCACAATATCCTTACCGACAAATCGATCATTCAAGTCAATGCCGGCAACGAATATGAACCCGTTAATGCAATCTCGTTCCGCACCGACGGTATGGGCGCAGGCCACGATGGACGTAAAGACGGTGTCATGGCCACCGCCACTGCTGCCACTGGCGATGTCACTTTCTGGGATCTGAACCACGGTGGCAGAGTCATGGGTGTGCTGCGTAGCGCCCACAACCCTCCGGTCGAGGAAGGAGCCAAGGTCCGTGGCGGCGTGAGCAAGATTGAGTTTTTATCCGGCCAGCCCGTCATTGTGACGAGCGGTATGGACAACTCGCTCAAAACCTGGATGTTTGACGAGTCCCCCTTCTCTCCGATCCCTCGAATCCTTCACCAGCGAAGTGGTCATGCGGCGCCCGTCAAGTGCCTGCAGTTCCTGCCCACTGACTTTGACGGCGCGGAAGCCGGAAACAAATGGCTGCTCAGTGGTGGCCAGGATCGAAGCCTGTGGGGTTGGAGTCTGCGACGCGACGGCCAGAGTACGGAACTGAGCCAAGGCAATATTCGCAAGCAAGCCAAGAAGCACGGGATCCTGTCAACGCGAGCCTTGGCCCATGGCCCTACTACAAGTCTAGAGGATCTCAAGGCGCCGGAAATCACTTGCATTGCAAGCTCGCTCAACCGCGACGGTGGCATTGGAGCCATTCCCGGCAAGCAGCCTATCTGGCAGAAGCGCAGGGACAACAAGGCACAAAGGCTCGACGCCGAGATCAGTGGCATGACGGGCTGGGAGAGCGTTGTTACGGCTCACGTTGACGATTCATTCGCCCGCACTTGGTTCTGGGGTCGAAAGAAGGCTGGCCGCTGGGCGTTCCCCACGGGCGATGGTGCTCACGTCTCGACGGTCGCCATCAGCCCCTGTGGCACGTTTGCTCTGGTCGGTTCCGTCGAAGGTGGCATTGACATGTACAACCTTCAGTCCGGCATCCACCGACAACGCTTTCCGGCAAAGCTTACTCCCGCACAGGCGCGAGAGATCAGGATCCAGCAGCTCAAAACAGGCGACGACTCGATCCAGGTTGCCGGCGGAGGCTTTTTGCAAGGAACAGGCCGCCACATCAAAGCTGTCACCGGCATCATTGTTGATTCCATGAACAAGCACATTGTCTCCTGTTCCCTGGATGGCAAGATCAAGTTCTGGGACTTTTTGACGGGCAGGCTGCTTCAGCAAATCGATTGGGCACCAATGGTCGGCATAACCGGAGGACGTTACCACGCCGGTAACGATTTGCTTGTGTTCGCCTGTGACGACCTTTCCATCCGAGTTGTGGATCTCGAGACCAAGAAAACAATCCGCGAGTTCTGGGGTTGTGAGGGCAAGATCAACGACTTCTGCTTCTCAAATGACGGCCGCTGGGTTATTGCCGCATCCGACGACTCGGTGATCAGAGTCTGGGATCTCCCCACAAGCCATCTGATTGACGCCATTCGCCTGGAAAAGCCTTGCACCGCCCTGGCCATGTCCAGCACCGGCGAGTTCTTGGCGGCTACTGTCCAGGGTGAGCTCGGTGTGACGCTTTGGACAAACAAAACCCTGTACAAACATGTTCCGACGAGACAAATTTCCGAGAAGGAGGTGGGCACAACGACTATGCCGACCGCGTCAGGCGAAGGCAGCAAGGGCCTTGTCGAGGCAGCATTTGATGACGAGGCCGAGCCCGAAGAAGACGATCCTACCGTGGCACCGGCGATCGATCAACTCAGTTCTGACATGATGACCCTGAGTTTGGTGCCGAAGAGCCGCTGGCAGACATTGCTCCACCTCGACCTCATCAAGCAACGTAACAAGCCCACCGAGGCTCCCAAGGTGCCGGAGAAGGCGCCCTTCTTCCTTCCCTCGACCAGCGGCGGCAAGCCTGCGCCTGCCCTCGAGGGTGCGGCAGACACGGCACCCGAATCCACGTCCCGGATCACGAAGCACGAGCTTGGACGCGTGCAGGAGATCTTCACCAGTAGGCTGATGGATGGCGCCGTCTCCGGAGACTGTAAGCTTACACGTCTTCTCTCTCTTGAAGAAATTGACATACTGACCTGGTTGCAGACGTTGACTTCATCGAACACTTGAAATCGTTATCTCCTTCAACGGCAGACCTCGAGCTCCGCTCCCTGTCAATTGGTGACATGAGCGGCAACGAAACCAACGGTTTGGTACACTTCATCAAGGCTTTGACAAGCCGTCTCAAGTCCCGTCGGGACTATGAGCTGACGCAGGCGTGGATGACTGTATTCCTGAGGCTGCACTTTGACATTGTCATGGAGAACGAGGCGTCGCTGGCGGCGCTGCAAGAGTGGAAGGTCATGCAGGAAAGCGAGTGCGCTCGCTTGGATGGGCTGGTTGGGTACTGCAGTGGTGTCGTGGGTTTCCTGAGGAGTCCGAGGACATAGCGGATCGTACATTGAATCTAAAGCGTATTTTCTCAAGCACTGTTGACTCTTGATTACGTCCATGCTGACCTGATGTTCTTTTGACTTGAGATGAAGCACCTATAAAGTATACACCCTGATCTTATGACTAGTGAACGCTAATGCTGCGCACTGCCTGAGGAAGGAGATCTATCCTGGAGCGCCTGTTGCATTTCACTTCGTTGTCGAGATTCAAGGGTCTTCCTGCCATGAAGGTTCACCATTTTCTTCAGCCTTCATGTTCCAAACAACCGGGGTTCCAAATGTCAAGGGTCAGAGTAAACCCTGGAAGCTGTAGGAGAGTGGTCACCAAGATTCTGCTCTCGGTGAAAGGTTTGTTTTCGTTACGCCTGGTCTTGAAGACGTACAGCACACAGCACAGAAGAACGCGTTGTCGTCGGCCGCCGGGTAAACAAGCCCATGGCACGCACCATTCCTGCCAAACATGAAAATTATCACGAGAAGAGTGTAAGGCATTGTGACTATATTTATCTTGGCTGGTCGCTCTCCCGTTGCGGACAATTTTCCGGCGCCTGTGTTCATGAGAGGCACCTCGAGATGCATGCAGCCCAACAAGCACAGCCAACTTTCCTGATTCACCAGCGCAAAAAACGCGATAGACCTGGTGGTCTTTCCCCTTCACTCATGCTCTACACTCTATACACTTCTACGGTTCACGCCGTGCGTCTTTGGCTTTCCTACATCTCCGCCCACCAATCGACAGAGAGATATCGTCGATTCACCTGTGCACGAGCAAGATGAAATCTCACGTGAAATACCTTTATCAACTTGAATATTCCTAATGGTGAGTATTTGCTCATAAATATCTTCTCAGCTGGCCCACCACTTGCATGGCAGCGTCATAGCCATGAGGTCTATTTTGGGGTAATCTATTCTCTTATGCGGTTGAGATTGCGTCCGTTCGGTAATCCCTGCTGGTGATGAATAAGGGCCCATTCAGAAACCTGACGAGGAAGGGTCAGTTTTATTTTTCGCGGCGACCTACTCCGATGTCTTTGAGTCGTCTCAATCTTCCAGCCCCGAATGGCATTTGCATCGTTTAAGCATGCTCACAGTGTTTGCACCTCGCGTGAACAAACACACAACAGGGGACATTCATTTTATGTCATCATGTACATTATTGTATATTTTAATTACATTCCGCAAATCGTCATGTTCGTGAATATGTGCAAGCGTCAAGTGTATACAAAACGGCTTCTGCATAAATAGCAGATTTACCGAATCTCCAGGCGCAGCGCGTCGTACTGCACGTAGAGAGCCTGCGTCAGGAGAGCGGGCTCGTAGTTGGTGGCACCGTAGGGCAAGCTGAGGACGATCTCGTTCTCGCCAGCCTTGAGCATGCTGGGGTGGAAGCTGAACTTGTTGCCGACCTGGTAGCAGACGACGGCAGAGCGGACAGCGCAAGAGCTGCTGTGGTGGTAACTGGGCAATGTTAGCCAATTGTGAAGACCCCAATGAGGAAGGCATGGTGAACTTACGGGATGACCCAGGGCTTCAGGTCCTGGCCGTTCACGTTGACCGTGTAAGCCAGGTTGGCGTGAGGCTCGCTGGCGTTGAAGACATCAGTGTTACCCGCAGCGGTCTTGGCGCCGGCGAGCTGCACGGTGAAGGTGGCCTCCCTCTTGCGCCTGACCTGCGCCTCCTCGAGATCGAAGACAATGGTCCAGTTGTTGACGTTGCCGTCTCCCAGGTACATGTCCTTGCGAACCGAGTTGCCACGGCCTCCGAAAACGCTCCAGTGGACGTAGTTGAGGTCCTTGGCGGGGTCGCTCTCGCCAACCTTGTACCTGACACCATCAGGGAACTCGGAGGGGAAGTCGTAAGCGGCCCAGTAGATGAGGTGCTCAGCAGGCTGCCTCGGCTTGGACAGGTCCTTCTCGAAGCCGTGGCGGTACTCGCCAGAGCTCCTGTCAGGGGTACCAATGCGGAAGATCTCAGTACCGGCGTTCTCCTCGCGCCAGCGTGCGTGGGTGGTTCGGATGCGGCCACCGACCTCGATCTTGACATCGTCCTTGATGTACTGACCGAAGATGCCCTCGGCGTAAATGGTGAGACGGTAGGTTCCGGCCTTGACCATGGGAATGGTGGCATCACCCGACTCGCTAACCTCAGTCCAGTACTGGTAGGCCTTGGTGTCGAAAACGTTATCCTGGAAGTACACGCCGTTCTGAGAGAGGACAGCGATGGGCTTCTTGGCGCCCTTGGGAAGATCAACGTGCAGCTTCCAAGTCGTGCGGCCCTTGGTAGTCACATAGTTGGGGACGAGGGGGGCGATGGCGTCGTAGAACTCAGAGTTCCACTCGGGATCGGCGTACTGGGCGGCATCGGCGTGCAGCTCCTTGATGTCGGTGCCGGCAGGTCCCTTGTTGAAGTGGTAGTAGTAAGGGCCAAAGGTGCGGTCGAAGCCAGAGGTGATGTTGGGGGTTTGGTTGCCGTGGTGGTTGGAGGAGATGTAGTTGTAGACAATACCGTCCACGGTGAGGTCGGAGAAGAGAGGGCCGCCGAACAGGGTGTCCCTGGTGTTCATGACCATCCAGGCACCAAAGGTAGAGCCGTCAGCGGTCTTGCTGCCATCGGCGAACATGCCGTGGGCCTTGTGGTTCTCCCAGGTGGACTGGAAGGTGTACTTGGTGAAGTATTCGGAGAACTCCTTGACGTAAGGGTCGTTGGGAGTCGCGCTGAGGTCCCAGGTAGCGTCCTGAACGACAACCTGCTTGGCGACACCGTCCTTGCTGGGCAGGGGGCCGTATTGTTCAGGGTTCGTGAGAAGATGAGTCCACATCTCCGTGTTGGGACGGAACAGGGTGCGAAGCTCCTGCAGGTTGCGCAGGAAGGGCGTCGTCTCGTTGTGGTAGGCGACGCGGCTGAACATGTGAAGACCGGTCTCCCCCTCGCGCAGGAAAATGTATTGCTCGAGGACCTGGCCGGTGGCGGGGAAGGTGTCGGACATCTTGAAGCCGCCGTACTTGGTTCCCGTGGCATCCTCGCCAGAGTAGAGGGCCAGCGTAGGTCGATCACGACCAGGGGTCCAGAAACCCGCGGGTGTGCAGTAACAGTCGAGGTAGGGGCCTCGACCGATGCTGCCGGTGGCGGGACCGAGGAGGTCTTGGCCGTCGAGCGTCAGATCGACAATGATACCGCCAGTCTTGGTGACCGTGGCATTGAGACGGTCGTTGGCGATGATGTAGGAGTTGGACGTCTCTGTCGTTTGGAGGACAGCGGCAACCATCTGGGCCATGCCAGCCATGGCGGCAAGGCGAGACAGCATCATCTTCATGGCGACGTTGTACGTTCGGGGCCGAACTGATCAGGACGAGTAGGTGGCTGGAGAAGACTGTCCCGGGCGGTTGGTAGACCAGAAACAGGAGAAGCCAATGCCAGACGACAGCGTCGCGCGCGCAGTATTTATGGCGAAGGGCAATGAGCGAACGGTAGCAGCCGGAGGGTGTGCCTGTGATGCACTCCCCGTGTTCTCCCCACAGTCCAATTTGCGCTGATCATGGGGAACGCGGGGAATGAACGCCCCCTGATGCCTGGGGAAGGCTAGCATGGGCAGCGTGAAGTCCTCGCCACGGGTTCATGTCGACCGAGGGCCAAGCTACCCCAATATCGACGACCATGCCGGAACGGGTGGCTGGACAAAAACGAGGGACAATGATTGGCACGACTTCGCCCCAGCGTCACTATCGCTAAGATGAGCCGTGGGGTCAAATGCCGGCGGTTGAAGAGTAGTTGCACTCCGAATGGGGCTATGAGGGCGACAATCTGCCGGTCTTCGGCAGAAATGCGGCCGACAGTGAGGAGCAGACTCGACGCCATCGCGGACAATCTGCGCAATGCAGGCATCTTGGCCGACGCGGGCGAGGGCTGGCCACTCTCGAATCGGCGCAAATGCTGTCGAGCTCGGGGTTGACAATTTCCGCGTATGGTAAGTGCATGACTCGGGCAGCACTGAGATGAAGGCCCTGGCAGCAGGCGACACCATGAAAACCACGTGTGCATCGGCAGGACGGCATGCACCATTGACACGAGGGCGCGAGGAGGCGACGATCAGAGGAGCCATCCAGCAGCTGGCATGCGTGGTCCCTGGGCCGTTCTTCCGACCCAGCAGTTTCCTCGGGCGCACCATGAGTGGAAAGACGAGCATGGCGGCGATTCCAGACGAACGGTTCCTGGAAGCGTTGCCGTGGAACTGAGGGGAAGCGGGGAGAGGCGGGGAGGCGGGGATCCCATTTCTCCCACTATCGATTTGCTTGAGGGGCCAGATCCAAACAAGGCGAGCTGTTCATCGTCACCGATTGTTGTTCTAGGTTTCGTCCCAAGTCAGGCTTCATCCCAGGTTCGTTTGGACCGCCCCAGTCAGAAGGACTAATCTTACGTCCCGAGCAAGGTCTGCGGGCACCAGACGTTTACAACGGAAGGCGGGCAGATCTGCAAATGCTGTCTGATCGGAGTCTTTGACAATGGCCAGAACGAGGAGCTTTGATCGTGTAGGCAAGCCTGGTTGTTCTCGGGCCCAGCCGATATTACGTAGCATGTACCTGGACGATCACTTCGGTCGATGTTTCCTTGACACATGCCTGTCGTCGGTATGCTGGGTTACATTGATGGTTTCGTTGTTTGACGGATCCCTTGTTCCTCAAATGAGATCACAGTTGGGGACAGGGTTGGGAGCAAAAGATAAGTGCTCATCCCGCATGGCTGGTGCCTCGATCAAGGTCGAGTAGAGAAAGGCTCTGCTGGTCCGAGTGGTCGGGGAGTATGAACCGTAGGACGAGTCCTGGTTGCCGTCCAGACACACGGATGTTCGAGGCTCTCTCCTCAAGGGAGCACATGTATTAGAGAGACAGGGAAATGGGTAACTTGGTAGCCAAGACAGGCGGCTATGCGGTTGAGTGATTCTATCAGTGGGAAAGATGGAAATAGCGAAGCAGTAAAGGGAATAAGCTTCTATACAGAGATTGATTCTACTTATCAGAGTTCTGACTAAGCGTGAAGGCAGCCTTGGCAGCTCCCTCCCCTTCTTACTCAGCAAGGCCTCTGGTGGATCCCTCCGATCACAATGGAGTGCTTGCATCACAGCACAGCACCGCACAGCAAAACAGAGCACACACCAGAGCACACACCAGAGCACAGCAGATGGATGGATCTCCCTCCCTTCACGGACATCTGCGACATACTAATGGGAAAATATAGCCTTGGTCTCCACCCTTGGCTATCCTGTCTTGTCTGCATTGGGCGACTTGATCGCGCAGCCGCCAGCTGGGGCTCTTTTTCTGCCTGTACACCTCGAGCGCTTCAGGGGCTGAGACGGCGCAAAGCATGACTTCCAATCTCGCCCTGAAACAAGGCCAGAACCAGTCAACCGCCCTCTCGATTTTCCCTGCCGCCATTCCAGCCAACCACCACTATCCGCGGCCCCAATCTATAACCCACAACCGCGCCTGGCTGTGGTGTGTGATTCTCCTTTTGGGATGCCAGTCACTTTGGGGTAACATCAGTCACACATTCTGAGCCATAGCAGCGAGAAGAGAAGACCGTCGCTGTCGACCAACTCATGCATATCCCTGCAACGCGGAAGTCCGTACCAGCCCACCTCATGCGCTGGCTCGACCACAACTGGCTGTCATCCGCTGCCGTGATGGAGCTCGGCCTCCTTGGCTTGACTCCTGCCCAGAAAGCTGGGACAAGCTAGGAACCCTGTGAGGAGCCCTCCCGCCCAAAACCCGGCACATCATCCCTCCATACTTGGCCCTGATCTGTCCGAGGCCCTGTCCTCCGCGCATGTACATGGGATTGGGCATGAGCAGTGAGCAATAGCATGAACATGATGGACGGGAAGAACACGAGCGCCTCCCATTCCGAGGTCGGGGGGGTGTTCGTCCCTCTTTCGACCCCCGTCACCTCAGCTCATGCTCGAGCGCTGGCACAAGATGCTCGAGCTCCGTCTGGAGCCAACATCAAGCTCCCCATACCCCCTCGTCGGCCAGTGTCGACATGGTATAACTGCACGCGTCGCCACAGCCAGCGTCCGGCCCGCCGAGTTTGCTACTTTCTGACTCTGTTGCTTCTCTCCCTTGCTGCTAATGTCTACTCGCTTCCAAAACATACCTACAACCACATCTATTCGTCCTTGAATCATATTGAACCACAAAAGTTGCACGACACCCTCCAGTTCCTGAACAGTATGGTTGCCTGGGTTGGCGGTCTGGCTGCCCGAGCCGGCGCCGTCTTTTTAATGTCCAGCCGGCCAGATACGCAGCATGCGAACCTGACGACGTACACCATCAACTCTATGGCGGCTATCGATGCTCTCCAGAGCACATGGTACAATGTCCAAAGCGGCATCTGGGACAGGAAGTGGTGGAACAGCGCCAACATTTTCACAACCTTGGCTGATTTTGCAAGCATCGATGTCGTTGCTGCGAACGCGCTCAACATTGGGGGCATCATGAGGAACACGTTCGAACAAGCCCAAAAGGAAGCCATCACTTCCTTGAAACTCATCGACGACACTGGCCTCGTTACATCATCCTACACCATCTCCATGGTCGGTATGGAGGACGCTGCCACAGAAGTGGCCACCAAACTCATCGCTCGCCAGTTTCCTGGGTTCATCAACGAGTTTTATGACGACGAGGGATGGTGGGCACTGGCCCTTATTCGAGCTTTTGATGTCACGCGCGACCAAGGATACTTGGACATGGCCGCCAACATTTTTGACGACATGAAGACCGGCGGCAACACAAACTGTAATGGCGGCATCTACTGGAACAAGGAGCGAAAATACGTCAATGCCATCTCGAACGAACTTTATCTGAGTGTCGCCGCGTCCCTGGCTAACCGTATGCCGAATCGCCAGGCCTATCTGGATATTGCCGCAGCCCAGTGGGTCTGGTTCAAGGCCAGCGGTATGATCAACGAGAGGGGGACCATCAACGACGGACTGGACGGGTCGTGCCGGAACAATGGCCAGAACACCTGGTCCTACAACCAAGGCGTCATTCTTGGCGGTCTGGTCGAGCTCAACAAGGCCACTGGCGACGCCAACCTTCTCTCAGACGCTGCCATCATCGCCAAGGCCGCCATCAAGGAGCTCTCCGACGACAAGGGGATCCTCCATGATACGTGCGAACCCAACTGCGGCGCCGACGGCGAGCAGTTCAAGGGCATCTTTGTGCGAAATCTGCACTACCTGCATAAAGCCGCCCCCGACGCCGCGTATCGCAAATTCATCCTCAACAACGCGGACAGCAACTGGGCCCAGAACAGGGACGAGGCGAACAAGATGGGAGTCAACTGGGCCGGACCTATACAACGCGTGTCCGGTGGTACGCACAGCTCGGCACTCGACACCCTTGTTGGGGCCATGGCTGTCGTATGACGAAGTGCTTGGGCGGCGGGCGTAATACATAATAGGACACAGTATATGGCGTTGGTTGGGTAGATACAGGGTACACACATGGCTGGATGGTATGGGTTGGAGTGCGGGCGGCAAAAAGAACAACGGGCTGGGTTCACTGGATGGGCTACTTGATGAATAATGATAACAATATTGACGATCACTTTTGAGCGAATTCGCATCTTGTCAGGCGCTGCACTCAAGCTGTCTATCCTCCGGCGATCTGGTGTGGCTTTCCGTGGCTCGATTGCCGTAGCCACGCTGTAGCCGCAAGCTGACGCCATGGTGGCACACGCGGAGCGTGTAGTTCGGATGAAGATCCGCAACACGCGCACAGGCGGAAACAATCGTTCTTTGTCCAGGTCTGGAAACAGGCACACTCTGTTGCACGATGAGGCTGAACACCCCTTGGACGTGAAACAATATTCGTCATTTCCAGACCAAGATAGCTTGCGCGCGCAGTGACACTGCTCCGCACGCTTTACACAACATTGCAGCCGCTCGAGGTCCTGGCACTTTCTTCCGCCTGCAATGCACCCACATTTCATATGCGTTGTAGCGTCAGCAGCAAGTGTGCATGTCCATTCAACACTGCCACGTTTTTGGCCTGTCGTGGAACGAGAACTCATCCTGAGCTTGGGTCGTATTTCATGGGGGATGAGGTCGCCAGGAGCGGCGGCGAGAACACTTAAGCCATACTTGTGTGTTCAGAACAGTAAGAGGTAACAAGGCGGCGGAATTCATGAAGTTTGATTAACCGTCTATTAAATCTACACCGACGCCACGGAGCGCCTCCACAGCCCATTCAGGGAACTTGGTCTTGTCGCTATCGTACAAGTTGCCAAAGAATTGCCGTACGAAATCGGGATATCGATCTTCAATGATAGCCTGTCTCACGTTCCGCATGAGTTCCAGCTGATACCAAACGTTATGGATGGTCAGCAGGTGGGCGGCGACCGTTTCCTTGGCAGTGTTGTGGTTGATGAATGCCCTTGTGATACCGAGACCCCCTTCTCTGCAGCAGATACAACCGCAACCCTCCTCTATGGGCCCGAAATCGGTCGCATACTTCAGATTCCGAATGTTGAGAACGCCATGTTTAGTGATGGCATTGCCGAAACGAGCAGTGCGGGTGGGCCATACACAGTCGAACATGTCAGCGCCGAGCGCAACGCTGACGACGAGGTCTTCTGGATAGCCGATGCCCATGACGTACCGTGGCTTGAGGTCGGGTAGCATCTCGGCGCACGTCCGGACGACACGGCAGTAGTCGGCCTTGGCCTCGCCGCCACTGAGTCCGCCGATGGCGATGCCTGGGGTGTCCCGCGCAAGCATCTGCCTGCAGCACTCCCTTCGCATCTCGAGGTCCAGACCGCCCTGAATGATGCAGAACAGGTTCTGGGTTGTCGGGTTCTGGTGAGCTGCAATGCAGCGGTCGAGCCATCTCACGCTGCGTTCCATGGCCTCGCGCATACGCTCCTTGTCTGGGGACGTTGTAACGAGGACGTCGTCTAGCTGCATGATGATGTCGCTTCCGATGGTGTTTTGCAACGAGATTGAGTGTTCGGGCGTGAGAAGCATGGGTGACCCATCGTGTGGGCTGAGAAAGCGCACACCCTCCTCGGTGACGTTCGCCAGCTGAAGGAGACTAACCATTTGAAAGCCACCGCTGTCGGTAAGAATGTTGTGGTTCCATCCCTGTAGCTTGTGCGCACCGCCGACAGCAGCAAGGACATCTTGCCCAGGCTTGAGGCCCAGATGATAGGTGTTGTTCAGGCACAGGCGACACCCTGTCTCCTCGAGCTGCTCAGGGGTAAGTCCTTTGAGTGATGCCTGTGTCGCAACAGGCATGAACATGGGAAGCTGTACTGGTCCATGAGGGAGTGTCAAGTTTGATGCGCGAGCTCTTGTTGTCTGGTCTGAGCTGTTAGCAACGTCTCACACGGCGAGGTGGTTGGTTGGTGGGTATCCAGAAAACAGTGCCAGCGTCGAGGAGGAATTATTTCATACCGAACAGCGTGCGATCAGCTCAAACGTGAGGGCCGCTGAAGAGCTCACGTTGATGGAAGCCATTCTTCTTGTGGCCCACATGGAAGTCAAGAGTCCTGGGCTTGTTGTGAAGTGAAGGCAACTTCTACTCTCCCTGCCTACCTAAGGTAAGGTATGTTAGGTATCAAGGCATAGCTCTTGACTTTTAGGTGAGAAAAGGTCGAGGCAGGTACGGTACGCATGGGTCGCACATTTGAGAGGCCCGTGGTCGGTTTATTGGCAAGGGGGAGTAAAGTGGAGATGGCATGGCGGAACTGGCCAATGTTAGCGCGCCAGTCTGCTAGCTGGTAGTTTCCGCATCACTCCATTGGAAATTTCCCTCCACGCCCAAACGCCAACTCTAGCTCTGTCTTCAGACAACTTCGCAGCCTCGAGCCAGCATCACCATCGGCGCCGACTAGGGCCATGTCTGCTAGACTCTCGCCCGGAGGGGCTTTGCTCCGGTCGTCGCGTCTATTCTCCGTTCCGAAACCAATTCCTGGACCAAGTGCTGCAAGCGAGGATGCGGGATATGAGATCTCCCTTCGCAGGCCGACAGGCACATCGCCATACCCGACGCATCAATCCATCACGACACCCGAGAGCTCGAGGAGCCAAGGCGACTGGGGATTGAAGCGTAATTTGCCTCTCAAGAAGACCACCAAGTCGTCCACGCCATCCATTCACGTAAAGCACCTTGACTCGATCGAGAAGATCACCGACTACTCCTCCTCATCCCAGCACTCCATTACGCTGCAGAAGTTTCAGGAGCTCAATCTGCCTCTTACCGTGCCGACCCTGCCGAATCGCTATCGTGCCGTATCCCTTGGCACTACCTCGGTTTTCGAGGACGACCACGACGTTACTGCCGTCGGAGGAACTGGATCCGACAAGAGGTGGAAATTCGAGGGGCCATGGCTGGCCGGCTTGACTGAAGGACAATTCGAAAACTATGTGCAAAAGACCGTCCGTAACAGGCGTCAGGAGTTCCAAGCGTTCCTCCGAACGCGCTTGGCTTCCGATCTGACTGCCGCACGGCAGCAGGCGGCTCTCGACAAGGCCATCGAGGCTCCAGCGCCTGTGGTCGCCAAAGACGTCACCGAGGATCAGCTGACGGAATACATCCGCAAGCTGCGATCTGACCGTGTCACTCTCTTTGCCCTGATCAGCGAGTTCCTTGACCTTGCCCCGCTCAACCCCCCGAGCGCCATTGCCAACATGTCCGCTGGCACTCGGATCGAGTCCAAATCGCCCAACCCCTACGCCGAACGCGGCCCTCCGATCACTCACCCGTCCGGCGGTCTGTCGTACATTCGAACGAATGCTCATGCCGAAAACCATCCGCTGTACGGACCGCAGGCGAACCCTTCGCCTGTTTTGGCCCGGATCATGATTCCGAGGCAGATGTCCAAGCCCGCCAAGCTGGGTGTCGCAGGCTTCATCACGGACACGCCGCAGGGCGACTCGGCTTTCAACTACCGAAGCTACCGTGGCGGGAAGGCTCGTGTTTCTGGTATCGCCACATTTGACCCCGAGATCATGGGCGGCTCTAAGTGCTACGTGGAGCCCGTGTCGGCGAACATCAACTCCGCTGGCAAGCTCGTTCTCAAGGTCGACGAGGCCAGCGAGGAGGCGCAGATGATCAAGAAGGAGTTGATCGGCAAGGCTGAGATCTACAACAACAAGAATCCCAATGCTCATGCTCTAGAGTCTGAACCACGAACTCACTCCCAGCGCTTGGGTGGATATCGCAGCTCTCCATTGGGAAGACGAGATGGATCTCCTCTGATCAGAAGGCAACCCAAGCCAGGAAAGGTTCAGACCGGTAGCTCTCAGAGCTACGGCCTGGACAAATGAATGCACCTGATGGCTCCAGGCAATTGAAACGTCAATGTGCATGCGCATCCGTCTGGGGTTTTGGATTACCATCCCGGACGTGTACTACGAGATAGAACCCCTATGTATAGCAATGTAAGATGTCCAACAAGTCACGCGCCATGTAGCCCAATATTCCGGAGCTAAACTTAGAGATCTTACAAGTCAAATTGTGACGTGTATTGCTCTGGTAAAAGTGAACAGTGAGGACTGCCAGGGCTACGGCGTCTCGAGAGACATTGCCTTTAGTCGGCGCGGGTCAGGTCTGTGAGTGCGGTGCACTACAAGTTGCCGAAAATACCAACCCGATGCAGTACGGCGGGCTGTTTGGGATCTGTAGTCACGTGTCAGGCTTGAAGCATCCCCCCACTGCCCAAGCAACACAGCAAACGAGAACCCTAGGCCCACTTTTTGATTTTACCACACAAGTCCTTTCTCCCACTATACTTTTCTGCAACCGACTCTGACGAATTTCACGGCCTCATCACGACCGCACGACAACCACCGCACAACCACCCCCGTCCTTTGATCCTCAGCCGCCAAAATGGGTCGCGTTCGCACCAAGACCGTCAAGAAGTCCGCCAAGGTCATCATTGAGCGGTACTATCCCAAGCTCACCCTGGACTTCGAGACCAACAAGCGCATCTGCGATGAGATCGCCATCATCGCCTCCAAGCGCCTCCGCAACAAGGTCAGAAAGCGCCCCTCAAAAGAACTAGATTGCGCGAAGTACCGGGATTGACAGTTTTTGAACAACAGATTGCCGGCTACACTACGCACTTGATGAAGCGTATTCAGCGTGGCCCTGTCCGCGGTATCTCCTTCAAGCTCCAGGAGGAGGAGCGTGAGCGCAAGGATCAATACGTCCCCGAGGTCTCTGCTCTCGACTTCACCCAGAACTCCGAGAGCGGTCAGCTCGACGTCGACGTCGAGACCAAGGACCTCCTCAAGCACCTCGGCGTACGTCTCTACTCGTCACTACATGCGCGAGTGCGTCTTCGGCTAACCAGACATGCAGTTCGACGCCATCCCCGTCAACGTCATCCCCGTCTCCCAGGCCCAGGCCCCCGAGCGTGGTGGCCGCCGCTTCGGCGACCGCCCCCCTCGCCGCGATTAAGCGTTGTTTGTTACGATGGATGGAAAAACTGGTGGACGATACCAACTGGGATCAGGCATTCGGAATATTGCCGACAGCGTCTCGCGGACGGTAACACGGGCATACTAGAACTCAAAGAGAAGTTCATCCCCCACCAAGGTGTCGCTGATTCTGCTGGGCTCGCCCACAGATGACGCTTGATTGCCATTTGCTTCCCCATATGCCGTGATGTCGACGTCGGGCGTTACGAGTAGACAGCCCGGTCCTCACATGAGGTTATGGGATCTGTCAGACCTCATTTGGGCGTGTCGTCACGCCCAGCCGCGTGTGTGTCTGAAGTGTGACTTATGGGGTATCATTTTCGTGACGCAAGCTATCTGTGGGATGATTTATCCGTTGCCCTGCCCGCCGTAAGGAACATGGCGTGCGACTTTGCTACGCATCTTGCGCGTCCTCAATGGCTTCCTCGTGGGCTTTTGCCTTACCCCTGCCCGGCTTGTGACCCTCTATCAACATGTGCGCGGTTCTCTCGTGTTCGCTGTCTTCTTCGTCCGAATCGGGCTCAACGGGTGGCGCGACCTCTTTTTCACGAATTGTGAGAGTGACCGTCCCTGGAGCCGTCGCCGTGCCGTTGTCCCCACGCTCGAGAGCCAGCGCGGCCATGTCCTCCGTTGGTTTCCTGTCGTTCAACGTTAGGTGTCCGACCGCCTCAGTAGCCTGCGAGACGGGATCCTTTGTTGTGAACTGAGCTTCTCCCATGAGTTCAATCTCGATATCAGGGATGCCCGCTCGCTCCCACGCCGCTGTTTCGCTCAACTGAACCTTGACGTACAGAGCCCTCCTCTTGCAGTCTTGCGAGCACCACCTTTCCATCTCTTTCCTGTCCACGATGCCAAAGTCCTTGGACCCCACGTTCATGAGCTTCCATGGCCCGCCCCGCGAGGGTTGGGGCTTTGGCTTCGCGCACAGCGTGTACCCGCACAGCTTGTTGGCATTGCGCTCTTCGATCAGGTCTTCGAAATCACCGGGCTGGAACAGTCGCACGTGCGTCTTGAAGCCCGCGACGTCGGACGGCGCGGGGTCGGAGGCCGGGTGGCGACCCTGGGTCGCGGGGTATTCGGAGAGGAGGATGAGGCTGTCGAGGATCTGCGCCTCGAGGTCCTTGCGCTGCTGCAGGATGCGCGCGTGTTGGAGGGCCAGCTCCTTGGGGTCTTTTTTTCGAAATGTTGCTTCGGCGGGGCCGTCGGGGCCGTGGAGCGCTTGCTTGAGAATGCCCTTCAAGGGCTTAATGTCGGTGTCCATTGCGCGGTGTCGTTTTCAGGTCAGAGGACTTCCTTCGCTACGCTGCCGGAAGACTTCTTCGTCATTACGGTTGGTGTCTACAGAGGGTTTGGGGCTTGGCGCTGGTAGGCGTCTCGTCGGATTTTGCCATTGAAGGACCCAGAGCCCTGACGTAGAAGCTTGTCGAATCAACCATGACAATGTGGAGCCTCGAGGTTTGGTCAACTTCATATTTGGAGAGCTTGAATATCTCTCAACTGAGTGAATATGCATTTGTAGGGATGAACCTCCCCGCGTTTTAATGTACTGCTCAACAAGCTCTTTAATCCCTTTGACGCCGAAATTTGGCCTTAGTACTTTGTATGATCGACAGCTGAGTGGCAGAAAATAAAGCTCACCAATTGAATTAAAGGATATAGCGGGCAGTACATCTAGATGCCTGTACCGTACCTATATACTATAGGCATATTCGCTCTCAACTGCGTACAGAGCTTGTACCTACTGAGATCCACCTTAAAGCTCTTAAAGCAGGCGGTGATCAACGTATGTACTGAGGCCAAATTTCGGCGTCAAAGGGATAATGTGACTTGCACTACGAACCGGCCCAATTCTGGTAATCAGGCGGATTTTGCATTGCAGAGAACAGGCGTGTCTCCATAAGGCGTGCCAGCCACAAGATGACGCTATACCCTGTGCGCTGCTAGTATCCATGTCTCATTTGACATATGTCTGCGATGTTCGTGGCTTCCACGTTGAGGTGTTGTTCACAGTTTGACCTGGAAGACTCCTTCTACATCGTCACGGGATTTCATGCTCGCCAAGCCATTGTCTGCGTGCAGGGCACGGTGCACTTGATTGCATTACTAATTCTTGAACGTCCACAAGCCAACAGACCGCCACTCACGCTCCCCTCAATATATACGAGCTCCATACAAACGTATCCATGTCATATCCAGTGGCTTGGAAGGATCGCGGCAAGGTCCACAGTCGGTTTAGATCCATGCCATTCTGGGTGCTGATGTGTTGCTCCTGGCCAACTACAATGAACAAGCATGGCCAGCACAGGGCGGTACAGAAGTGATTCACATATCAAGATTATGGAAGTCTTGTTTTTATAAGCTTAACATTCCCATCTACTTGACTTTTGTATGCAACGCCTATCCTGCCTGTGAATTTTGAGGGGTTTCCCTTTCTAGAGCTCGAGACCAGCCTCGGCCACCTGAAGACCATACTATCAGAATGTTAGCACATGTTCCGGGACACACGGATTCGAGCTTTCCCACCTTCTTGAGGCGAATGGCAGCAATCGTGATGAAACCAGACTGTCAATGGTGTTAGTATTTGCAAAGAAACATGGCGCAGAGAGCATATACCGTCTCGGAAGGATCAAAGGTAGTGAGCGAGTCCATGGACGCGTCCTCCTCGGAGTAGAGCTTCTCCTGGGAAGTACGGCCAAGAACATATGCGTTGCCCTTGTAAAGACGAAGACGGACCTCGCCGTTGACCTGTTTTTCGAGTTAGAGGTCGCCAATTTATGGCATCCATTACCACAACTTACACGCTCCTGGGCGAAGTCGAGAGAAGCTTTCCCCGCCGTTAGTTTGTTTTCCTGAACATGGAAGTGACATCACTTACGCTGAAGGAACGCCCTCTCAGGGCTGAAGTACAAGCCGTTGTACAGAAGCTCCGACCACTGCTTGCTAAGGTTGTCGCGAAGGGAACGGACACGTCCATCAAGCACCCTCCCTAGTGTCAGCTGTGGAACCGTCGACCTGTGCTAGAGAAAACTCACAATCCTTCGATGCTAATGTGCGACAGGCGAAGCAAAGTCATCGCGGGTGAGTCGTCTGGGATCTGTCAGAGCCTGTCGTATCCGCAGAAGATAGGGATCTACATACAGCATCCACGGCTCTTGAGGCCGATGTAGCGGTTCTCAACGATGTCCTTCGTATGATATTAGCTTAGGATCTAGTACTCTGAGCCATGGAATACTGACAATGCGACCAATACCGTGCTGCTTGCCCAGATCGTTAAGGAGCTTGAAGATCTCGAGCGAGCCGGTGACAGTCTTCTCGGGGGTGACGACCTTAACAGGAAGACCCTTGTCGAAGTGAATGCTGATGTCGAGGGGTGTATCGGGTGCCTTCAGGGGGGAGTCGGTCCTGGTCCACATGTCTTCGGGGGGAGTAACATTGGGGTCCTCGAGCATGCCCGCCTGAGTCTAGTCAGCACTGATAATTGTGACTATGTCCCACTCATTCCCTACCTCATAAGAGCAGTGAGCTGCGAGCAAGTTAGCGGCAGTAGTGTCATCCGGACGAAGAGCTTGCTTACCAAGGTTGTCATCCATAGAGTAGGGCTTGGCCTTGGTGGAGGTGACGGGGATGCCTAAATCGTCTTAGCGGAACCCAGCAAGAGGCTGCCAGGCGAACTTACCCTTCTCGGCAGCGTAATCAAGAAGATCGTTGCGGCCCTGGAAGCGGTTGAAGAAGGTAGGATCGCGCCAAGGAGCAATGACTAAACACAGGTGTTTGATTAGACTTAGATCGATATTTTTGTGTGCAAGGGTTAGACAGGATCCGGACTATACCCTTGATCGCGGGGTTGATCGTGTAGTAAGCCAGCTAGACAAAGGCATCAGTATGCGTCGTAGTCGTTTGCGAAGTCATGGCAAGTCTGGGCCGCCTGCTCGTACCTCGAAGCGAACCTGGTCGTTACTATTGGGTTCATTAGCCAAATGCCCTCCTGTACAGACCCTCTCCAAGTGTGGAGCCAAGTAATAACTTACCCCTTTCCGGTGCAACCGTGAGAGACGTAATCGCATCCCTCTCGCGCGGCACTACCATAAGTCAGTACCAACCGGAATGAAGTACAGTCGGAGATTAATTACGCCTTCATCATCGCACGCGCGATGGCGGGACGAGCCAAGCTTGTCTGGACATATGTCAGTCTCTATGTATCCGCAGAGAATCGATCGAACGTACGCCGAGGAGATATTGGTCCTCGTAGATGGCATTGCAGGCGATAGCCTTCCAGCAGAACTCGCTGCGCTGATCAGTAAAAGATATCGAATATCATGTGTGCATGCCAACATACTCAACAAAGTTTTGTGTGATGTCCTCGATGATCATCTACATTCGTCAGGATTCTGCGCTCGATGTGGTTGGGGGAGTCTTGTCGTGTGCCGAAAGCAGCGTACCTTCTCAGCACCAATCTGGAGAGCTGCAATTATCGTCAGCATGCGTTATCTGCTTCGGCCTCATCGGGAGAACTAACCCTTCTTCTCGACGGCATCCCAGTCCTCCTCCTGACCGACATTGGCAAGGAAGCAGCTAGAAGATGTTAACAGCCGCTTCATCTTCTTCTATGGTGTATTGCGCAGCTCCAAGCTGCCCATGTAATAGAAGGCTGCTTACACGACGGAGTACTAAGACAGCGGTCAGCTCGCTCCCGACAATTTTGAACCCGTCGTACTTACATCCTGCTCAATGAGCCAGGCAAGAATGGTCGACGTGTCGAGCTACACTGGATTAGTATGGGAAGCACCATGGAGTTGGAATTGACCGTCGAAATTGATTCGAGATCGTGGTTCGAGAACGTACACCGCCAGAGTAGCTATCGCAAGTCAGTACATTGAACTTTGGATGCGGGGGCGGGGTAACCTACGCAAGGCAGACCTTTCCCTTAGAGCCAGCCATGGTGATGATGCTTTGGTGCTTCGGGTAGTAATATGTCGTCAGAGGAAGGATCTGAGTGAAGACGCAGGGTCAATTGATGGTGGCAGAGGGGATTCAATGGATAGAGGAGAGAAATGATTCAGACCGTGTTGGCTGGAGGAATAAAAGGTAAGGGTGCGTTGCGAGATCGGGTGTGGGTCCCTTAGGACAGCATGGTGGAAGAGGTACCAGAGACCCTTGGGCAGGTCTGCGGGCACTCAAGGTACCTTCCCGTCAGTACGCTTGTGAGTCACTGACACAGTCACACCCTAGCGAAGGATACCACGAAATTCTGGCGATACCTGCGTCCTCCACTATCGGCGCCAAAAAGATAAGAAGCCTAGAGAAATGGGAATCAGCAAGAATTTGCGCTTAAGGTATAGGGGTTCAAGTGTTGGTATATTAGTTAAGTAGCAGATACGAAAAAGGTAATTTCAGTGAACCTTCAATAGTGCATCTCCTCCCCTGATGCATAACCCCATTGTATTGCATTCCCAGACCTATCCTCCCAAGTAACTATATTCCAAAAGGCCGCCTACGGCCTTAACCTATATAATACTACCCATTTCCCTAATATATATAGTACTTAGTTTACGTCTATTTAATTACCTAAAGGTAAGAGCTTTAGTTCTCCTTATATATAGTCTTCTAAGTATATCCTTATTAGTATATATCGTGGGCGACGTAGGAGGTATAGGCAACGACTAAGGGTAGTGCTTATTTATAGGATAAAGAGATAATAATAAATAAGAGGAAGGGAGAGATAAAAGTAGTTATATCTCGAGAAGGAAATATCGGATCGAGAAATAGATTAAAGATTCTTATAGCCCTTAATAAGAGCTATAAAATAATATAGTTTTTATCTAGATTGAAAATAAGTAAGTAAAGGGTTTAATTTAAAAAGAAAGTTATAATTAATTAAGAAGAGTACTTAGATTAATCTTAATAGAAGTAAAGTATATCTTAGAAGGTATCTATTTATAGTAATTAAGAATAAGTAAATTAGATAGGAATTGCTATATATAGGAATTATAAGGAGTTAGAGTCTTATAATTACTCTAATAGCTTAAATAAAAGCTAAACTATAATAATATATATATTTTAAAATAGAGAAAAATCGTAGCTATTAATATATATTATAGTTAATATAGGAGGTAATAGTATATATCGTAATCGATATAGGAGGTATTAGGCAACGACTAAAGGTATAGCTTAATTATAGAATTAAGAGATAATAATAGATAAGAAGAAAGGAGAGATAAAAGTGGTTATATCTCTAGAAGGAGACGTTAAGTCGAGAAATAG